TTATGCTGACCCACAGGTTCAGGCTGAATATGATGACCATATACTGTCCCTATGCAAGAAAGCAGCACTAAACTCCTGGGATAAGGTTCATGAGCCAGGGGAATGACTGGAAGCTTATACCAAAATAGAACAGGGAACAACAGAACTATTCCAGGACTTCTGAGACAGGTTGACCAGGGCAGTAGAATTACAAGTAACAGATCTAGCAGTAAGACATTCGATTGTGTATACAATAGCTTATGACAATGCAAACCCAATATGCAAAAGAATACTTTTGCCTTTAAAAATCAGATAAGCTCTGCTAAAAGAATGGGTTTTGCATAAAGCCCACATTGACTGTCATGTGCAAGATGCTGGAGTCTGGGCAGGAGAAGCTATCCCAAGAAGTTTCAAAAGGCAGCAGGAGATTAAGAGTTCCAGAGATGATGACGGAAGGGCTTGGGAAGGAGAAATACCTTACAGGGATCGATATAGGTACCAAGAGACCAGGGTTCATCACTACTATAAACCAGGACTTCATGTAGGACGAGCCCACCCCAGAAGACCATGGAAGCGTCAAGAACCTAGATGTTTCAGCTGTGGCAGAATGGGACATATTAAGAGAAATTATAGACATGGGAATTTAACAATGCCTCATACAAAAGGCCACCACCTTTGGGTTTATGGAGAAGATGTGGTAAGGGCTGACATTGGACCAGTGAATGTAGATCGACCAGAGACATACAAGGAAACCCTTTATAATCAGTGTGCTAGAAGCCTCAGAATTTCACTGAAAACACCATGTAAACAGCAAAGGTTTAAAAACGGAGTTTTCCATCACATGGCAACAAGTCAAGGAGATAGTAAAAAACTGCCCTACCTGTTCATTCTATAATCAAGTTCCATTACCAGCAGGCAGTAATCCCAAGGGCATACATAGAAATGACATTTGCCAAATGGATGTGTTCACTTTCCAGAATTTGGAAATTTAAAATATGTACACCATACTATAGACACATTTTCAGAGTTTCAATGGCCACTGCTCTTAGCTCTGAAAAGGCCAATTCTGTTACGACACATATTAGAGGTAATGGCCATTATGGGTATACCTGCACAAATAAAAACTTGACAATGCTCCAGCAAATGTCTCCAGCAAATTGGAACAGTTTTTCAGATTTTGTAACATAAAGCATGTGACCAGTATACCACATAAACCTACAGGACAGGTAGTAGTTGAGAGATCTAATAGAACACTAAAGGAGATGCGCCATAAACAGAATGGGGGAACAAAAACCCCCAAATATAGGTTGCATAATGCTTTATTGACACCAAACTTTCTTAATGCCAATGAAAAAGGACAAATAGCTGCAAAAAGACACTGGACTACAGAAAAAACTGCTGAACTGAATCAACCAGTATACTTCAAAGATGTACTAACATCTGAATGGAAACCAGGACATGTGTTACATTGGGTTAGGGGTTTTGCACTGGTTTCTACAGGAGAAGAAAAACTTTGGATACCATCAAAGTTGATCAAGATTTGAGTAGAAAAGGAAAAACCTCTCAACGAGGACAAATGACAGGTATTCTACTAAGGTATATCTCATAAACTAAGTAGAAACCCCCCAAAGGAAAGGGAAGTGTTTTGATTTTACCTTCACAGGAAAACTCATCTCCCGAAGGCAAAGGACACTGCATGGGTAGATACTTAAGAAGAGAAGGTAGCTATAACCATCAAACAAAAGGAATGTGTCATACGGTAAACTTTACAGCTGTCTCTCAGAGAACTCTATTTCTCTTCATTTCCTAGTCCTTATTCAATTAAACCAGTGCTGGATTTAGACGTGGATTTGGGCTTCCTCTTCTAAAATCTAAGCACATCATTTAACTAAAATTTAGAGTTTCTGTATTGTATCAAGAAGCCAATTGATGTAATACAG